TTTAGAATTAAATTAGACGCCATTTTTGGTCCAAATTCGTTTTGACATGTTTTTTCAAAGAAAGTGACTTATAAATTTCAAATCTACACGTTTTGAAAAATATACAATATTTAAATATTCTGAGTGTACCAAATTCCAAGTAAAGGTTGAACTTAGGTCGTATTACATTTTTTTTTTATTATTTGTTTGACATCGAGGTTAAAATAATTCTACACGGCACCTTTGAGATGAAATAAAAGGGGGTTATTTTACATGATTGGTTTTTATTGAAAATAATAAATTTATTAATTTTCAATAGTAAGGTGACCTAAGTTAGATCTTTATTTTTAATTTGGCCAAAAATTAGATTTTTAAACACTACATATTCGGAAAACTGTCGATTTAACTTTTGGTCTACACATACACTTTTAGTACACAGGGATACCCCGTCCTTAAGATGTTTCTGTAAGAAGCTATTAACTTTTTACAGTTATTAGTGTTTTCCATGAATTAGCAACAGCCATTTTTCCATAAGAAAAGTGCCTGGTCCTTTCCACAGTTAATATTTAAAGAATTTGTTACTAACTTATCATATTTTAAATATAAACTACTTTTTTTCTCAGTGTAACTATAATATATTATAAATGATATGTAATCGATTATATTTTTATTGCAGGTGCTAGTCGAATACGATGACGTGGAGTGGCAGAGGCGAGAATGGATTTGCATTCACAAAGAGGGACTCTTTCACCTGTTTATGGTTGAACAAGTGCTGGTATGGGCGCACCGCAGGGACCCCTTCTCCCCTTCCCACGGCACCGTTCTATGGCCTGCACTGGTAAGACACTTTTATTTTTTCTCCTACCGTTTAGTTAAATATATCCTGTATATTATTATTTAAAGACGCTGCAAGCGGGCGCCACTTCTAAGAGACGCTCGAATGTGCAATTACATACAGGGTGTCTCAGCTTTTAGTTTTCTTGCTCTAACTACCTATTTATCCTGTATATTTAACAGAAAAAGTAACTTGAGTTCGTAATATCCACAAAAGGTCGTTTTTTGATTATCTCTTTCTCGCGACTTTCAAGGTCATGTCAAGGTCAACTTTGTTTTTAAAAAGAATCATACATATTTAAAAGCACACCATGTTATTTATTAAAAAAAATATTTGTTTAAACCATTTTCCTCTTGTTCTGTTTTGAAACAAATTAATAACAAACATTTTAAAGACGAGATTTACTTCAAATATTGAAAATCAATTGGGAAAAGACAAATGCAACTAACTAATACATACGTTAAGGCCGGGCGTGGGCAATGTATTTTACATAGGTACACACAACGTCCTTTCAGTGACTTTTTATGGGAAACTACAAAGAGAAAACTGAAAAAATTTCTGCCGATAATAGTTATATACTACTGTTCAATTTGGTGTCTCTAACTGCAAGGGATCGTTTAAAAATAATTCCCAAAATATGGTAATTTTTACGATAAAATGTAGATAATATTATACCAGTAATATTTACTCGATGATGAAAATAAATCTTTCTTGAATAGGTTATATATTAAAGCAACAAATGTCACTTAAAAGATCTAAATAAATTGCGTCAATTTCCCTAAAAGGTCATTGAAGTATATTTTGGAAGAAATTACAAACAGCCATTTATGTGTAACAATTATCTGGTATATAAAAGAAAACTTCCTAAAACTTCATAAGAGTAGCGCTAAGTTAGTCCCGAAGAGAAATTATCATTTCCGTTCATTAAGGTTGTGACAGGCTCCTGGTTCACCTACAGTGAATCAGCGAGTCTGTGTGGCGCTATGAAGATGATTTCCGAATAGGGGTTGCTCAGGCGCCAGTTTTGGTACTCAAGGTGAACTCAGTGGAGGTAAAAATAATTTCAGGCGGTCACTGCTAGGTAGCCACTATACTAGAATAAATAAAAATAAAACACTTATCTCCTTTACACCTTGTACCCTACGGTACCCTGAAAGAGAACGGTTAAGAACCAGTAACAAGAGAAACACAGTAATAGGTAATAAAATATATATTTACAAAAAAAAAATAATACAACGGTAATTAAATATAAACGGCTCCCTGTATTCGGAAAATCTTATTAAAAATAAATTATTACACTTGAAACTAATTAAATATTAAGGGCTCCCTGTATTCGGAAAATTTACTAAAAATAAATTATTAGAACTGAAAACTATTTAAATATTGACGGATCCCTATATTCGGAAAATTTATGAAAAATTAATTATTGCAATTGAAAACAATTTAAATATTGACGGATCCCTATATCCGGAAAATTTACGAAAAATAAATTATTGCAATTGAAAACTATTTAAATATTGACGGATCCCTATATCCAGAAAATTCATGAAAACTTTATTATTGAAAATTATTTAAATATAGGGAAATGTTTATGGTTCATTAGCACAGGAGGCTAATCGGTCTGGGAATTGCGAAACGCCCAGTATACGGAAAATTTATTAAAAATAAATTAATACACTCATGAACAATTTAAATATTGAGAAATAATTACGGTTCGCTAGCACAGGAGGCCAAGCGGTCCGGGACTTATGGAACTCCCTATATACGGAAAATTTATTAAAAATAAATTAATACACTCGAAAACAATTTAAATATGACGGTAATCAAATGCAAGCAAATAAATTAAATCAAAGTTTTCGGAACGTCCATGTATCTTAGACCGATCGACGCTCCTCTAGCAATTATTATTGAACGAGAATGATAATTTTCAGCGCGGTGTTTGTGACAAAAATGCGACGGTTACCGTAAAAATTATTTTGAGATTTGACGGTGTGTGAATTGATTTTACAGAATTCGTCGGCTTCGTTCAATAATTAGTTGTGGACGGGGAACGGAATGATTCAAATACAGCTGAATAAATAAAAAAATAAAAGAAAAGAAATTTACATGAAGTGAGGCGCGGAAATTAATTTAGACGTCCTTTTGGGAAATTAGATAATGTCGTCAGGAGAGAGATCACTCTAACCCGGAAACGAATCGAACCTACGAAAAAAGAAAATAAAATAATAAAATAAAAAAATTGGAAACGGGTTGAAACTCTCACTTCAATGTTAACAGGGTGGTTTATAAGAGAGATTGGATGTAGTCGTTGACAATGAGAGCACTCAGAGTCTAGCCTACGTCCAGCCTCAAATAAAAAAAAATGCCAACGGTTTCCCACTGAGGGGTGAAATGAAATATCTTGGATATGAATCAACATTTTTCACTTGTCGCACGGGTGTCCCAACTAATTATATAAAAGTCAATAAAAAAAAAATAATATACGGTTCCTACCTCAGAAGATAAACGGGGTTATTCAATAATCTTTTCGAAATAATGGCACTCACGGAGTATTTACTAGGCACTAGAGGTGTGTCGTTCGCGAACGATTCGTTCAAAAAGAACGAATCAGTGCACTGACTCGAATGAATTGATTCCCTGTTTTTAAAAGATTCGAATCTTTTTTGAGTCAATTGCTCGATGGCTCTGCGAACGATCAAACATGCCGAGTTCTGAGTTTGGTTGCTTCGTTCATTCGATTCGGATTCGAAGATTTGGTATTTTACATCGGCATTGGCAAATTGGTCGCTTTTATTCTACGTTCTACGGCATAATACGAGAACTCTGACAGGCGGTGGCGGTATGTGTCTTTAATGTTTTTCTCACTTTACAGGAGGTGCGTATTAAGCTTAGGTAAACAATTTATGCGTGTTGTCTGATAAATAAATTTAAATCAAAGTAAAATTAAAACAAAAAATGACGAATCGTGAATATATAATTTTGCGTTAATTTTGGCTATATATATTTGGCATTTAAAAAAAAATTGTGTTATTGTTGTTTATCTTAACGGACAAGGATGTATTTATTATTCAGCTGCCTTTTTTTATGAAATATGAAACATTAATTCGCTTTACTTTAAAATAAATCTGGTTATAATTATTTTACTAGACGACCTAGTAGGTAGGTTAGGTAGTACTCAAATTCGTAAAAGTTCGGTTCGATTTCCTTCGCCGGATCGGCGGAATAACATCGTTCGTGGTTCGCTAAAGTGAATCACTTGAGAACGAATCTTGAAGAACGAATCTTTTTAGGTGAATGAATCAAATGAATTAATTCAGTAAAAAGATTCGAGCTTCCCACCTCTACTAGGCACTACAGAAGGGCGAATAGTTTTCAGCTGTCGGCAATCAAGAGGAAGAGCTTACGGCGGCCGGCAAGCAAGAGAGGGTAATTCGCAGATGTGATTGAATTTATGCTTTTTCGGTAAGCCCGAGTGGGCGATACCACTACTACCGCCGAGTGTTTACAATTTTAAAATAAAAAAAATGTCCTTCTAGTGCCTTGACAAATAAAAGTAGATAATTCATACCAAATCAACTCTAAAAATGCCCATTCAGATTTCTGCAAATATGGGAATATTTTAACCTACGAGGGTACTCGCAATTGTTGAAAAACGGTAATTTCTGGAAAACAGAAATACGGGGGATCTTCTACATATCCTCAGGCGGGAATTAATTGAAATATACATTTTTAAATTAATTGAGAGCAAAATTTAGTGACTTCGTCACAAAGTGCTTCGATTTCGATTTTTTAAATTTTTGTATGAGTTATTCATATTTAATATATTCATAAGCATAAAGGGTACGTAAGTAATAAGGGAAAGCCTTGATTTTACGTTTTGGAGTCCTGAAAATGTCTGTATATACGGAGGTGGTAAATATTTAGAAAAACGACTAAACGGACTTTTAGCAAAAGTTGATTGCTTGCTAATTTTGTTGAATATCGGAGCCTAGGTGATAATGATACTTGTAGTTGTTTAATAAAATTGAATATTTCATATATATATATATATATATATATATACATATATATATATATATATATATATATATATATATATATATATATATATATATATATATATATATATATATATATATATATATATATATATATATATATATATATATATATATATATATAAATCTCACAACCTTTTCTGCGTCCATAAATTGCGAATTTGCATCTGATTCTGCGTCCACCACCTTTCTGCGTCCATATACGGACGCAGAAAAAACAACAGTAGTTATCTTTTAATTTATATAGCTAACAAAATGTAACAACCTTTTAAGACACTTTTAAAGCATCTCTCCGCCAAACTACATACTTAAATTTTTTATTTATTATGTCCTAAAGCTGTTTGAGCGTATGCTTTCGGACGCAGAAAGGTGGTAAAATGTAGCGACAGTTCCAACTTTTAGTTGAAGCATTTTACCGCCAGACTGCGCATCTGTCGCGCCGTATATTGCACTAGCGTATATTTTTGTTACATCATACCGATTATTCTGCGTCCTCGGTATTGGCAACGCTGTAAGTTCTATTTTTAGAAATTATTTGCCGAGAGTCGATGTTTAAAGAATATCGTTGGGATTCACAGTTAAGAAATATTATCTTAAAGTGTTTGGTTTTTTAAATCGTTTAGTCAGTGAATTTGCGTTAACGATGTATAGTTGTACTGCAAGATCCAGAAGACTTGTGAATATGTGTCTTGATTCAAGATCGTCTTTAGTAATGTTACCAAAATGGGAATCTACTAAAGGTCTTTCATCACATGACAGGGCTAATGTTCTAAGAGGTAAGTGATATTGCAAATAATTCATTATTAATGAAAAATGTTAAAATTATTTCGATTTATTTTCACGAATATGAGTAGATAAATGATTTAAGTATTAGTCTATACAGGGTGTCCTTCTGAATATATAATATATGGGGACTTTAGTTAATCTTTACAGATTCGTTTAAATGGGACAAATATTTCATATCGAGAGAAACAAACTGGTGTAAAAAGATCCTATACATCCGTTTCTAAATAATTTAGCTAAACATGAATTTTTAGGTTTCCATTTCTTAGTTCTAACGTTTCTATTTATTGATATACATACAGATTTTATTTATTTTTGTTTTTGTTTGGTGATTAGTTAAAAATTATCTATTTAAAATCAATATAACGTTTTAGAATCTCCCTCAGTTGATTATTTTAAATATAGACCTAGAATTTTGTAATTTTTTATACGACTTTTTATCGTAAAAATTAAACCATTTACGAAGGTTTAGAATACGTGGTATAGAGGAAAATATGCCGTTTTTTAGATTAGACCTAAAACCGTCGATCCAAAATGAAACACTCAAAATCAAGAAACATATGTAACAATTTTATTTTTCACTTTAGTTTGAGTATTTTATTTTAATACTAGACCCGAGGGTAGTTCCACAAAAAGAGAACGTTGTATTACCGATTTACATTCATAAAAAAATGTTAGTAAAAAAATTCAAAAATTAATGTGGGATCTTTTCACACCATAATATTACCTTCCTCGATAACCTGCGTTTTTCGTATTTACCTAAATTTGTATTACAGATTCAGAAATCTCTAAACGGGGTCCTTACTATTTCATATGGACAATTATTGGTATTTCTTAAACAGTAACAGATAGAAAGTTGGTTTAATTAGACAAAAGTTGCGCAGTTTTGTGCTTATTAAATAGGTGCCAAGAAACCTTTGAAATCTATAGGGAGATTCAAAGTATCGGACAAAAAAATGAAAATTATCATTTCTTTAAATTTATTAATTTTTTGTCCGATATATGTTTTAAATCTCATTGTAGATATCAAAGGTTAATATGTCTTAATCCGGTTTTTTGTTTGTTTGTTTGTTTGTTTTTGCCTTAAAACTCTCATATTAATTCAAATATTTACTTTCTTGTCAAGAATTGGTAAAACTTTCCCGTGAAGATCTGTTTGACTCTGATACTCCTTTGTTTTCATCGGACTCTGATGAAGATCCGACATACATACCCGATTTTGATGACTTAGCGGAAAGTTCAAATATAGACCTTCAAAATAACAAGGATACTTACAACATTGTGTTGTCACCACTCAAAGAAAAAAAGTCAAATAATCCGGAAAGGAAGGGAATCAATATAATATCCAATATCATTCTAAATCCCTCCACAAATAATGAACAGGTAGATACGTGTACTTCATATTAATTTTAAGGTACACATATTTTTTTTTTATCTGGTATTAAATGTATACAATCAAACAAATAGGCAACGGCTTTATTTCTGTTTCTTGATTCGTATGTTTATCGACGTCCTCAACTTCCTAGCCAATGTAATTGTAATGCCAGAGAAGAAAAAAATAAGTAAATACTTTATGAAACTCAATATTTAAATTTAATATTGATATTAAAATTTAAATTATTTTTTGGTGTTACAGGTCGCGATTATGAAGAGTGAAATCAATTCAACAACAGATGATTGTGCCACCAAAATTTGTGAGAAGTCCGTTTTAAAAACTAGCATTGATAACGAAGTAAGTAATTTTTGATAATATAATTATTTAGATGCTGAATCATGAATAATTGAAATTTGATTGCATTTTATTCCTACTTTGACATACAGAAGACACATTTCTAAAATCGATGCATATTACTTTCGTCAAATTTTGTCACAAAATTAATCAATGAAAATTATTACACAAAATTTACTATTTCGAAATAAGACGTTTGAGGAAAGTACTACAAAAATCATTTTATTTTTCAAAAAGCGCATTCCTAGACATACTTGTGAATGGGGCAACGTCACCGGAATTGGCGGAATTAAAGAAAATTAGGTGCCATGTATTTATCTCATTTGAAAGGTAATTTTATTAGTAATTCAATTCCCAAAATAATATCCTGCCTGCAATATTTTTTACACTTTCTTATTTTATTTATTTATGTAAATATTATGTGACCTATTGAATTGCTCATAAAACTAGCTTTTATGAGGTACCACAAAATGCTTATAATAATACTTACTATCCCTTGAACCTACTTGCACGAATCTTAAAAAAAATGGTTTTCTGTTTTCTCATAGAAACCCATACTCAGCCTTATTTCATTAATTACTAATAAAAATATATTATATTACAGAATGTTTCTTCTGAAAATGTAATCGACTCAACCACTCCAGAAAAATCTACAACCTCGAGCACAGAACTTTGTGAGCAATTACCTTTAAAAACAAAGAAGTATAAGAGCATCCGAACTAAAGACTTTTGTTTTTTTTGTGAAGAGGAAGTAAATAATTTTGCAAGACATCTTTTTCGCAATCATTCGTCTGAAATTGAAGTAGAAAAAATTTCTTTATTGCCTTGTAAGTCAGTTGAAAGAAATCGCGCTATTTCTGCTATACGGAAGAGAGGTAATTTTATTAAAAATTCTGCAGTTTTTTATAAACCAGTGCATCGAAGTGCTGTCAATGACGAAGAAGAAAATTATGTTCCGTGTCCATTTTGCTTTGGATCTTACTCAAGAAAACTTTTATGGAAGCATAAAAAAATTTGTTTTCTAAATGAAAAATCTATTAAAAGTACAGTCAAGACCTGTTGTTAGAATGTAGGCCTGACGCTGATTTAAAAACTAAAGTATTTTCGAGGATGATGGCTGATAAAATTACTTTAGTGGTTAAGAAAGATCTGCTAATTAGTGCTTATGGTTCAAGGTATATTAAAACACATCGAGAGCAGCACCATGTTAACGTTTGTTCTCGAAAAATGAGAGAATTGGCTAAAGTATTAATTGAATCTCAGAAAATTACTAGTTCAATTAAGAATTTATTTGATCTTTTGCACCCTCAGCACTTCGATACAGTGGTGCAAAGTGTAAAAGTGATTGCCAAATATGATGCAATGAAAGATATGTTTGGATCACCAACATTCGCTATGAATATTAGTAGATCCCTAAAAGATTGTTGTGACATTGCAATTTTGAAAATAATTAAAAGAAAATACAATTATATGCACATGTCAGCTTCAGAAGCAGAAGCAAATATCCAAGTATTCAGACGTTTATTGGAAAATATGTGGAAACACGAAATTTCGAGTAAAGCGGGAAATGACTTAAATACAAAAACATGGAATAAAATAACCCTTGTGCCATTAGCGGCAGACCTAAAGCTTTTTAGGAGCTATCTTATAACAAAAGGAACTGAAGCCGCGCAAAAATTAGAAAAAAATCTAAATGATTATAAGGCTTTTAATTTATTGTTGGAAACTGTTTTCTGTCGATTACTTCTTTTAAACAGGAGAAGAGTTGGTGAATTACAAAGACTTAAAGTGGCTACGTATTTGCTAACTGAAGGAGGCAACAAAAATTATGAAGAATTTTCAGATGCTGTTAGTGCCACAGAAAAACTTCTCCTTCAAAAATTTAAAAGGGTAGTTACACGAGGAAAAAGGGGAAGGGGAGTTCCAATTTTGTTTAGTTGTGACATGCAAGAGCATATCAACATTATTCTACGGGCACGTCCTGAATTTGTCAAAGATGGTAATTTATTTTTATTTGCTAACTCTTCTTCAAATGAAAATCCCATAACAGGTTACAAAGTTGTTCAAAAACATGCACGATTATGTGGGGCACAAAATCCAGATTCTTTAACTTCGACAAAATTAAGAAAGCATTTAGCAACATTAACTCAAGTTTTTAGTATGACAGACAGTGATATCGAGCAATTGGCCAGCTTTATGGGCCATACTGCGAATGTTCATAAACAAGTGTATCGTTTACCAGATGACGTCTACCAGACCGCTAAAATAGCTAAATTGCTTCTTTTAATGGAAAAGGGAGAAGCAGGAAAATATAGGGGAAAAACATTAGATGAAATAAATTTAGACATGGATGCTGATATAATGGAAGATAATGATGATGAAGATAATGATCAGCGGGATGATGATAATAAAAGAAGTGATATTAGTGACGATGATCTAGATAGAAGTATTAAGGAAACTCTTGAGAATAGTGAGAATCAAGGCGAATTATCAAAGCCTACATTGAATAAATGTCAACCAAAAAAAAGCGCACTTTGGTACCATGGACATCGCAACAAAAAACAACTGCAAAAATGTTTTTCAAAAATCATATTAACAATAAAAGACCTCCTAAACAACATGAATGTGAAGAGCTATGTCAAAAATATCCAGGAATGTTTGACAACAAATCATGGACCAAAATAAAAGTTTTTATCCAAAATGTTTATTCAAAGAAAACGTTTTATGATTTGTAATAGTACCTATATTATTTTTCATTTTTATATAGTGTGGCCACAGTAAAATCGTTATTAATTTTATGACGAAAAGTTTTTATTTATAAAAAAATTCTACTTGTCTAGAAAATAAGATTACCATATAAAAATCTTAGGTCAGATGATCATTATTTATGTTGATAAATAATTTATAATTCGAGCAAAAAACAATTCTGACAGAAAACTAATTTCTTATTTTATCTATGTTTCGTTAACTGTTTTTTACTGCTCCGGCATCTTTGACAGGATACAAAACTGTTTTACGATGTAGTTTTTCTTATTTTTTATATTTTAGTAATAACAACTTATTTTATAAAAATGTGTTTATTTTTATATTATTTTTTAGTTTACATTTTTATTTAGCAATTAGTTTCTTGAATTGTCTGCTTTCTTTGAGAAATTCGTAGTAATACAATTTTTATCTTTTTTTTTTTTTTTTTTTAGTTGTAATAAAATATTTACTTTCATTTTTTAAAATAATTTATTTACCTTCACCCCCTGTAATTATCTAACGAAAGTCTTATGGTATAATCCATTAATCAGTTTCCAGTTGTAATTTTGTTTAATTGTATAATGCTGGTGGCAATACAATATTTACTAAAAAAAGGTTTTAATGAAAATGTCAAATTAATTAGATAATTTCTATAAAATGATTCATCATCTTCTATGTATTTATCAATATATAAGACTATTATTCATAAGTAAAGTGTATATTCAGATGGTCAATATGGCATTTATATATGACAGTAGGTCCGATTACAATAAGAAAAACATTGTTACGTCATAACCATTATTTTAAACTTAAAATATATGTGATCAAAAACTAACAATAAATAAAGAATAACTAAATTATTTGGTTTAAAAAAATACCATATTTTTTAATACGTCAAACGCCAAAGAGCAACTCCGTAAGTAATGACGCAGCTCTTCTTATTGTAATCGGATTTTACTTAAATTTTGGACACTTTATGATTTTGTATTAAAAAAAGAAAACAGTTTAAAGTATTTAATGTTTTAAATAAAGTAATACAAAAGTGGATACAAACAACCAATATTCGGAAAATGTTCTTCATAAATAATAAAATAATAAAACGACCTTCTATAAAATACCCCAAAATGATCCGAATATACCTAAAATCCAATCAGCTTATTGTAGGGTAAACTAAATCTTAAGTTTAAAATTTAGTATTTTACTCACCCACACCCACTAACCCACACTCGCTCACCCACATTCACTCACCCATACCTACTTACCCACACCCACTCAATCATTCACACTCATTTACACGCACATACTCACCCACGCCCACTCATCCACTATTACTCACCCACACCCACCCTTACTCACCCACACATAGGCAGGCAGATAGACACTATCGGACAATGGTCAAAACAGATGCAGGGAACACCAAAAAGTAAAGATCCGTCTAAAAATCTAGTTCGAAAAATGTTGATCCTTGGGGTTACGGAAAAGTAAAAAATATACAAGATAACTAAACGAGTGTATTAAACCTTCCCAATGTCAAACATTTCCATATCTTGCTGTAATTGTATAAATAGCGGCAACACTGTAGGACGCAGAAAGTGAGCAAAATATAAAATAATATTCACCGAGGACGCAAAAAAGATATGATAATTGAAAATATATATGGTCGTCCAAAAGATAGTGAAATGTACGGTAGCCGAAAAGTAGGTGTCATGTACACATCTCAATAACTCCGGTAAAAATTAATATACATGAGTGATTTCTAGCGATATCTAATGGATTTTAAACCGACCAACTATCTGTTAAAACAGATCCCTATATACACAGATGGACGCAGGACCATCACCATCCTGAAAAGACGCAGAAAAGATAGTCAGATGCAAATATATATATATATATATATATATATATATATATATATATATATATATATATATATATACAAATTTGATAAGCTTAAATGTATTTTTTTTAAATTAAGTTTTGACTTTCCTGTATCCAGTAAATCAAGTTTACTTTGATGTTCTATTTTTTATATTTTTTTTGATGTGTAAAAAATAATATATTGATTTGACGATTAAATAAAAAAAATAGTTTCTCTACTTTACAATTTAATTAAATACACTTGTGGTATTAACTGATAGTAAAAAATACATTTAAATAACAGGTAATGGGCCTTTTTTAGTAAAACAATTAATATTCGGTGAAAAGTTAAAATAAATATAAAAAAATAGAGGCATCCGAAAATAAGTTTGGAATCACCAAACTGAATAATAACAATTATCAACCATGCAAATTTTAAATAAGAAAGCTACTAAAACGGTAAGGTACTTGAAAAGTTGTCTCCGAAGAAAAACCCACTACGACAAAGCTCAAACCACGTTCTCTTTCGGTAGAAAATAACCAAATTATACACATTTGTAACTGTTCTTGTTATTTTGGGTAGTGGGTCAGGTTATTAAATAACTCGTGTTACCTTGAAAAAGAAGTTGGGAACCACTATATTTAAAACTTATTATACTTGACTATAGATTAGTGATAAAAATATAGAAAATCACTAACCATTAAGATATTATATTTAAACAAAGATTTAGATAAGGTAGTGACAAATTCTAATTCACAGAGATTTACTTAATTCAAATTTAGATGATTTATTTTAAAAAACAAAGACTTATCTGTTATAATAGGAGGTAGAATATAAGGAGTGATTTCTAGGCCTTCTTCAAAGGGACTTGAACGATATTCTTCGGATAGCACCAAACTCTTAGGTATAAATCTTCATCAACTTCTTGATATAAAATTGATATAAACTTCTTAGATACAACTTGAAATAAACTTCTTAGATAGGACTTGAAATAAACTTCTTAGATACAGCTTGAACTAAACTTCTTTGATACAGCTTGAACTAAACCGTCTAGATATAGCCAGGCTAAAAGGAGAAAGTAAAAATATTAAGAAAGGAAATAGGAAATTTGCACAGGAACCAGATAAAATGCCTTTAACTAATAATTGAACAATTTAAACTATTAACTGAATAATTTCACAGAAACCAAAATTAATATGAAAAGGAAAAATCCTATTTAACATATTTAAAAATTCCAACCAAAATAATATATAAAATTATATAAAACATGTTATCCATGTGTTATTCATGTATTGAGGTTATGTTTAAAATTTTACATTTCATTTAAGAAATTCTTGTACAAAATATATATTTTCAACAATATATCGGTATTAAAGCTTACCTTATAAAATCAGACGGCCAATAAGAATATTAAAAGACAATTAGTACATCGGATTTCAAAGATAATTTAAAATTTAAATCAACTTGATTCGTTGACATCCAAATCAAAAGTAATTCTCGCAAAGCGAATAAAAAAGAAGAAGACAAAAAATGACATTTGAGTAGAGATGTTTGTGTCAAAATAACGAAAACGGTTCCAACCGTTACAAGCTTTATCTTCCACTGAGTCCGAATATGTTTCTGCATCTCTAGCTAGCCAAGAACTGATTTGGATTAAATGTTTACTTTCGGACTTTGACATTGGATGTGAAGAACCTACTCCTGTGTTCGAAGATAACCATGGATGTATTAAAATTGCTAGTGAAGAAACATTTAGTTAAAGGACTAAACATATGTGAAAAAGAAGGAAGAGAAAAAGAGAGAGATGTGTTTAGATAAAGATAAAACTTTAATTAATAAACAACGGTCAAAAGACAAATAAATAAATGTTTATATAATTACCAAAATAAAAAATAGCAAGTGTCAGGGTGTTTTGATTGATGGTCGAGGGGTTGTCCATTTAATGCACATGGTCGGGTTTTCCTATAAAGAAGAAAATACTCGTGAGTGCCCGTGAACATTACTTTAGTAATTATTTATTATCTTTATTATTATCTCAATAATTATTATTTATTATCTTATTTATTACCTCAATAATTATTTAATATCTTATTTATTATCTCAATAATTATTTGAACAATCACCAAGTACAAAGGGATTTAGACATGCAATGTACTTATGACTGTTTTGTCTATTATATTTTCAAGACATAGTACCTAGGAGTATGGAATGTGATCACGAAGGGATATAACGCGCGACGTGACTCCTGCCTAGTTACTACCCTTTTGGCGTAAAGGGATTCGACACGCAATACGCCCCACATTTCTTTTAGTACTGGGTAGGGATGTTGCGATACTACTGATATGATACTGGTATCGATACTTTTCTTTCGATACCGGGTAATTTAGTACCCGATACTTTGCTTTCGATACTTTACTCATATGGGTACTACTTTTGTTTCGATACTACTACTTTCGTTTCAATAATTTTACTACAAAATGTATATTGTAGGATCACTTTATGGTATGATATGTCGGCGTGTGCCCTATGACCTTTTTTTTGTTGTTCTGTACTTTTTCCGATACAGGTATCGATACTTTCGTTCCGATACCCTTTCGATACCGGTATCGATACTTTGGTTCCGATACTTTTTTCGATACCAGTATCGATACTTTACTGGTATCGCAACATCCCTAACTGGGCTTGCAATGAGTATGAAGGGATTAAACGCGCGACAAACTCGCTCCACCTACTAGAGCTTGACCCCGAAGGTCGAAATCAGAGCAGTGCAATGAACAAAAGGGATTAAAATTGCGATTGTTTGTTCCAGATATCATTTTTATGTGCGCACGAATAATTATTAAATCAGTATTCAAAACAGTTATCTTTATAATCCAATCAACAATTAAATATCAATAATTATTAAAGGCATTTATCCAAAAACTCAAATACTAAAGAAAAAGGACACTTAGTGATAAATCTCACCTGCAAATCCTATCACCAACAATTCACAATAAATCAACCTTTTCACAAACCGCACTTGCAACCACTGACTAGCACCTTTCTGAAACATTAAAATAACAGAATGCCTCTATTTAATTTCAAGTAACCTAAAACACTCGAAATCCATATCATGGGTGATAACCATAATTCAGCGCCTTTATTGTGATCAAAATAATATCAACAAGAAGCTGTGCGCTAAGCATCTTCTCATATTACCTTTTCCTAATACCAAAACATATCGAGAAACGAATTTAAAGAGAATCAAATAGTACAGGGACTTACACATTTAGACAAAAATTATTGAGAGCATTTAAAAATATATGCTTCTACGTATTTAAAAAAAAAACAAAGTTGATCTTCAAATGACCTTGAAGGTCTCGAGTAAACTTAAATCAAAATACCTACGGCATTTTCTAGACTTAATAAATCCATGTTACTTTTACTTTAAACATTTTCTGCTAATTATACAC